AAGCCACGGGAGCCACGTGTGTGTGAGAGGAGGTGGCTCCGCTGTAGTGAAGCCACCTCCAACCAAAAAGCAGCAAGGAGCAGTGCTCTCAGACCGCTGGCAGTTTCCCAAAAGACCACAGACTTTTTTTTTTTTTTACTGAAGTGGAATTTGTTTGACAGAACAATTCCCCTTAGAAATGAAATTCTTTAGACATTGGGTCACTACATAATGAAGGGCAAAGTGCTTCGTGACCTACATTGGATTCCTTAAAAGGACACCCGCTAAGATCAAACTGCTTCTATACGGGCTATACTTAAGCCAAATATTTTCCCAAAATACAGGGACAAACCAAGCCTACAGTTCACCCGTACGCTTTGCTGCCTGTCCCAGGGCTTTGCGAAAGGGAATTGGTAGCGTTCGCCTGTTGCCAGAACTTGGTTGAAATCCGACGCTGTTCCCCCTTCCGTGGGTGACTCTGAGCTGAGCCATAAACCCGTCAGTCTCTCGAGGACGGAACAGCAGCAGGCAGCGTCCTGGTTGAGGCCAAATGTCCACCTGGGCTGGTATTTGCCATTGTAGCATCTTCTTCAAACCGTGTGAAAACCGTGACCGTCCTCCCCTTGCCTAACCCATTTTGACTGGTGAGAGCAGGGCTGTTCCCCGGGAAGGGGAGCTGCTGAGCGCCTCCTCGCCTCTCAGGCACCCCAGTGGGCACGAGCCATTTCCAGTTGGTGCCATCTTACAGCCTCGAACCGCGCGCAGGCGGGTGTGCGCCGTCACCTCGCCGGGGTCCCTTCCAGCCCGCTCGCGGCAGGCAGGAGGTGGCCAACAGGCAGTCAAAGGGCGATGGTTTAGCAAGGCACTGAAAGCCAGGGTGAATGGTTTAATTTGTCCTATCGCTAGACCAAAAGCAGCTTAACATGGGACTCTCCTGGGTCTCAAGGAAGGGACAGCCTGCGGCACACGGGGACAAGACGTACTTGGTAGGAAATGGATTATGCACGTAGTGGTTAGAGCAAGCCTGTAACTGTAACCCCCACATCAGTTGTCGAGTGATTCTGTCCAGGAACGCCAGCTAACGTCGTTCTGAGTCATCCGCAGAAGTGACCGGGTTGCCGGGAAGCTCAGGCTGAACAGACTCGCTGACGCCTCACGGGTGTCGAGGGGCGGCAGCAGCGGGGCCAGCGCACGCGGCAGGGGACCGGCCAAAGCCGCTCCCGCGGGGCAGCCTGACAGGCTGCAGGAGGGCTCTCCCCACGGCGACGGTGCTGCCGAGGGCTTCTCAGGGGTCCAGATGCCTCAACATCCGTGAAGCCCCAAGTTAATCCCATTTTTAAAAGTCCAAAGAAAAAAACAAACCCAGAAGCCTCACCTACTTTAAACAACTTAATTTATTAGAACCCATAAATGTTGCTTTCATTAGAAGAATCAAGTTAACACCTAATGCAAGGTGAAATTACATTTTAAGACAAAAAACCTGTAATGCTTAAATACAGTATTTACTGAAGGCTGCTATCCTTAGAATCCCCGGCCCGAGTTTATACTCGTCATGTGTATTAGTGTGGTATCTAATTCTGAGCAGGTTCAGCATTCCATTTGCAACTGAAAGTACATCACACCATGCAAAGGGCTATTCCCTCGCCTGCCTCCCAGGGGTGTGGAATGAGGAGCTCGAGCCTTCCACAAAATCACCCATGAGATGCAGCGCCAGAATCCAAAATGTTTTATTTCTTGTGTGCTTGAGACCGATTGGTAGAAGATCCCTGTAGCCAAAAAAAAAAATAAACAAAATTGTGTGACCGTTGACATTTAGTGAAGAGGTTCACGGAGTCGGCACCGAGCAAACCTGAACTGTCGCTTCAACCTGGAACCTGAGTATGGAGAGAAAGTACAATCACCCACGTCAGAGGCCCTGTAACTGCTTTTCACAGTAGCCCTTTTGGCGAAGCAGGTTGGGTTAATAACCTTGAGTTCCACTACTGCAGCTCAACAGAATCAATCCCTTAAAATTCAGAAAGTGCTCAAACACAGAGTACAAAAAGTATCCAACTGACAGACTTTCCGAGACAGAAAATCAAACACGGGACGTGGCAGATGGCGAGAGATCCGTATCGGAGCATTAAACTAAATTAAAGGGAGCGACCGCGGCACAGGATGGACGCTCGCGAGACAGACAGCGCTACACAACGTACTGACCGTGGTGAGGGCTCTTCCTTCCGTCGGGGGTCCGACAGAGCTGGTGGAGACTCGGCTGGTTCTCACACGTGCTCTCTAACACACACACACAGAGGTTTCCTACCAGCTGCGCTGAATTACGTATAGCACCTTTACAACAGCTATTAGTTACACAACTTTTCCAGGATGTACCAAATCGTTACAATACTAGCATCACCGATTTCCAGCTCTAGCTACGAGGTTTGGTCGTTGTATACGAGAATTACAACGGTCCTTTGTGTCCGAAGCCTGCCAGAGCCTTTCCTCGGTGACAGTACGAAGGAGCAGTTTTTTAAACATTCTGTTTTCATTCTCAACCGATAGGTCACCTGCAAAGCACAAAACCACAGCACTCATGAGAAAAGCAGGAGTATTTTTGCTCGTACAGATACTACTGTAGAAAAGGGGTCCTTTGGCTGTACATGGTCTCCACAGTGTGTTTGTTACATGAGATACAAACTGTACAAGTTCTCCGTTTACAAAGTTTTCTAAATTGCAGAAACAATTCAGCCCCTATTTATAATATCGGTTTTAAATGTAAAGATTATTACAGATAAGGTACAGTCTAAGTAATTGGCTCAATGTAACAACAAAAATGTCGTTTTAATCCAATCTGCAATAGTACAGCTATGTACATATGTACAGAACCGTGCCCTTCTGCTACGTCGCTGATTCGGAGCACGCTCCTCTCCTCTTTCGATCAGCTTCCTTTAAAGTAGGAAACGCCGACGTAACAATGGTTCAGTCTCGCAGCACTTCCAGCTCCTCAGTTGCGATCTCTTCTCACCCATGTTTCCTGCTTAACGCCGCCCTAAAGGACACCGTCACTGAAGCGCGGCTTGCCGTAATCCACGAGGTCATTCTGCAGGTCTCTCTCTTCATCATCTGCAATTAAAATACTCAGATCAAACCTGATACGGTACTGCTGAAAACATTTAAATGCGCTTGCCCAGGACATGCCCCTCCGCACACATCCACACCGAACTGGCCTCGTCTGGTTGCAGGAATGGAGTCGTCAGGGAAGAGACGGGGGATGCCCGTGGGGCTGCGGCTGCAAGGCCGGCCGGGCGCTCGGCGACGGCGGCTTCGGCTTTATCGCGACCGTGCGTCAGGCCGTCATTACCAGAGCTAGCTCACCTCCCTGCTGGGGGCTGGGGATCCTCCTACAGGGATTTCAGACTCTCTCCCTGAAACCCAGCAGCAAAGTCAGCTGCTTTGGAAAGGGACGTTGCCATTTGTTAACGGTTCTGGAATTAATGCAGTGCAGACCTTGGGAGGGCCGGTGCCTCGGGGGCTAGCGCAGAGAGGTCGGCGTGACCCCTCCAGGCTAAGGTGACACTGTAAGCAGTATTACTGAGGGAACAAGGTAAAACATGGAGATCGCTCGGTTGCTGTAGTCCTCCACCACCCGGCCGCCACAAAGCCACGCTGGCTACAGCAGAAGCCAACAGCGTTTGCGTCTCCCCTTCCAGTTCCGCAGGGGGCTGACGGGAGGAGTGCCGGGCCGGGTACTGACACCCACACGAGTCTATCTCCCAACCTTGGGTATTTTCCTCTGATCATCTCAGTCCGAGGCCCACACATTTCTAGTGGCAACAGAAAAACATGTTTAATTAAATTGCTTTGTTTGCACATGCCACATGCTTTGTTCCAGCCTAACGCACAACCACGTGATGTTTTTCTAATCATTTTAGACACAAATTCAGGTTGTTTTTTTTTTTCCCCTCCCTCAACTATTACAACCCTACCCTCTCCTGCCCTGCACACAGATCAGCGCTACGACTGAAGCAGACGCTTTCTCTAAACGCCACTCCTGGCAGTTCCGCTTGCCGGGCTGTTAGGCTTCAGTCAACAAGTCATTAGGAAACAACACAACGAAGGGCTTGGAGAATTGAGTCTGAGGTAGTGGCATTCGCTGCTCAGACTGTTCTTCACAAAAAGGCTTCCAGAAGTCACTCTTGAACCTTTGCTGCCAGTCACCATCCGTTATGCCTACACGGATACGCAGAGGAGATGATCAGAAAAAAGATTTTCACCAAGTCCAAATTTAAAGCCACCAGAGCAGTGAACCGACAGGTACCACCTCTAACGGGAAACAGTTTTATGAGGCCACTTTCGGTTCGAGCTCCTATCTTTTCGGGTATCCCTTGCACAGCCAGCTCCACAAGCACGATCTCGACTGTTTCTAACAGCTTCCCACCCCTTGCTGCCGCAGGACGCCCTCCCGTCGGGAGCGGCAGGCAGGAGCGCTGCTCACAGCACACATGGCACTAACTCTCGCTACCCGAAGCCCTTCCTCTCCCTGTAAAGGCCCATGACAAGGTGTTCGTGCTGATAAGCAAATCGTCACGGAGCTCCAGGGTACGAGCTGCAGCCCTGCCCGACTTGGGCAGCCCACCTCCTCCTCCTCCCGGCCGGCAGCACAAGGGCTGCGGGTAGAGACGAGCCCAAAGCTGGGTGAGGTGAAGGGCAGAAGTTTGCCCAGAGCCAGTAACAGTTCCGTGGCCTTGGTTAAAGCTTCAGGAATTGGCTTCTGACGCCCAGTTCAGGAACTCCTGCGGCGGAGCCGGGCATCACCCTCCGCTTGCTGCGGGAACTGAACTAACGCACCCACGGAAAGCCCAACGCACACGACTGCTCCCACTTGCAGAGCCGAGACGTACGAACGTGCACGGCCCACCGGGCCTTCCTTTGTGTCACGAGGCCATAACCGTTGGAACCAACTCTCCTGCTTCCACAGAAGCACCTGCTCGTACTTTTGTCCCTCACTCAGAAGCCAGCCTGCACAAGCGAGTTACAAGCCAACGCAAACCCCCGCAGAGGAACAGCCCTCAGCAATCCAGGGTGATGAAAACCCGCTGCTAGTTTCCAGCAAAAGCATAACAAAATGGGCCATGTCTTCTGGAGCGGCAGCAGAGTTCTCGTGTTCATCGGTAGTTAATTAACTGCCTGGGGTTCTGATCCATACTTTTCTTTTGCTTGTTCATGAGTTTCCAGCTACCAGCCCGGCCACAAAGTGCTTACACTGCATAGTCGGATGCACGTCCACAGAAATGTGTTGCATTTTATCAGCTTTTCCCATTAATTATGCTTGGATACCTATTAAATACAGGTCTGAAAAACTACTGGCTAAAAACCTTCCATGAGGAGGATCAAAATCAGGGTGCCTGTAGAGTTTCAGTCAGGGTTGGGTGTCATCCCCCCTTTATTTTCCACTTTCCTCAACTGGAAATACTCTCTCTGTTGCTGTCGATGTCCCACCCCACAGCCAGGCCAGCCTTCCCCACGCTACCACACACGAGGTGGAGACTGGCAGGCAGCGCGGCAGCCCCCGGCAGAGAGGCAAGGGAGAGGCGGAGCAGGAGCTGCATGCAGAGCACAGAGCCAGAGGCGGTGAACATGCACACAGAGGGACGAGGCCAGCACCAGACGAGCCAGCTCAGGAGCGCGGTTAGGCGGGAGCGCCAGCAGCCTGTTGAATCTGTGTACAGTGCACAAACGTTACACCTGGAATTGCGGAGACCTCACTGCAGACCGCCTCGGGGCGGGTGTGACAAAAGCAGTAGTCAAAAAAAAAACCAAACTACGCTTCTGTATTTGAAAGTTGCTTTAGTAATGTCAAGGATTAGGTCCCAACTAGCTGGATACCAGATCTGGGGTATGAGACAAACCCACTTCTGAAATTTGAAGTGTCTTGATTTTCCCAGCAGCAGCTGCAGACACGACTGAAATGAAGTTTATCAAAATCCTCTCGCTGAAAACGGCTGTAATGTTGCTTTCAAACGGAGAGCGAGACCAAATTTTAAAGTTTGCCCAAAGCTTAGTTATTCTGTATCAGAAATTTGTGATCAGCTAAAAATAGCAAGGCTTTACACAAATTCAACAAGTAAACTCAGCATGGATTTTATTACAATGGGATGGAGATAAGGCCCAAGCTCACCTTGGACGTCTTCTTCTCCACCATCACCATCCTCTTCCTCATTGTAAGCCAGCTCGGCCTGTTTGTCTGCCTCATACTCACCCACGTTACCATCATCCCCATTATAATCTGCCAGTTTAGAACCCTGCTGCGGGTCAACAGGGGATTCATTCTCATCAAAGAATCGGCCTGTGAAGTAGGCAAAGGATTAAGTCAGAAGCAGAGAGGAAAGAAACAGGAAGACTCCAACCCAAAGCAGAGCGCAGGTTAAGGTAGTGGGGGCTCGTAGCGGTCTCGGCTGGAGGAGGAAGGGGGGAAGAGGGAGAGGGCTGGGCCAGGGGAGAGCAGCAAGGCTTGGGGAGCACCTCTGAGCAAAAACGACACACTCAGTCGTTCAGCACTTGCATCCTGGGAAATCCGACTGCTACAAGCTCCACGCTCTGGAGAAAGCAGCCAGAGGGAGCAGCCCAGCGCAGAGCGCCATCGTCGAGTACAGACACCAGTAGAAGTTTCTTAAACCACGGACGCGCGCACGGCAGGAGGTCTCGTATCTCCCCCCGTTTCCGAGCAGGACTGGCGTTTTCCCCACACGACGGAGCAACACATTGCTGACTTCGCGTACGGTAGCGCCTGCAGAGCGTGACCCATGCTGTCCAGGGTAAAAACCGAGCAAAGATCTGCCCTGCATCCCTGACCGGACTCTCTTAACTACCTGATTCATTTGGCTTTACACTCTGCTTTCCTATTAAGCTTTAACAATTTGCAAAATGTCCTGAATCCACTGGTTTTGTCTCCCAGCAAAGAATTAACAACAGTTCCAGGTACTGAAACAACGCACAAGAAAAATGAGAAGTAGCTGGAACTCTGAAACGGGCAGGCAGTCAAGCAAGCAGACAAGGAAAGATTAATGGTGCGATGTCAAGTTCAGAGCTGGCGTTTAACGGGACCCAAGGAGCTCTGTTCCAGTCCGACGCTGTTCCGCCTGCTTGCCCACGGCCCAAGAATGCCGCACCGAGCCTGCGGAGGAAACAGGTCTGGAAGGACAACGTATACATGGAAAAAAAGGACTGAAGTGCAGCACAATCTTCACGGGCTGGCCGTGGCCTGGGAACAGAGTCTGCCAAGGCAGATGTTCAGCGATTCACAGTGCAAGCCATGAAAAGGGGAAGGAAAACTGCAGAACACGATTTCAACACTAGGATTAAGGAGGTGGTTGGAGTTACAATGGACAGACGTGAAAATGAAATTATTTCCTAAGCCAATGAAAACTATCATATGGGGCAGTGTACAGAAATCGGGACAGAAACAGTAACGTGGTGCTCATCTGGATGGGGAAGAACAGCAGAACCACCACAGAGCGCAGCTCAAGTGTGCAGACACAGAAGTTTCAGTTATTTTCATAAAATAGGAAACTATGATCTGTTTGGAAATCAGAAGTTTAATCTATTAGGCATTCTCTGGTCACCTCTAATTGAGTAACCCTTGCTATTATTGCTTCTGGTTTTGGACACCACATTATGTATCAGACAGAACCCTACAATTTGCAGACGTCAAATACAAAACAAGCTGTGGAGAGACACCTGAACGTCCTGAACTTACAGAACACCCAGCCTGCAGGTATGCCAGAAGTAGGGTGACAAACAAGCGCTGAATAAATTTAAGCTGGCAGAAGGGAAGGTTAAAATATTGGGAGGAGATCCTAGGAAACGCAGGCAGCCTGCTGTGAGCCGGGGCTGCGCGAGCCCCCCGGCGTACAGGACAGCCCCAGCGAGCTCGGACTCCAGCGCAGCCTCAGGGTGCAGCTACTCCCCCTCCACTGCCGGCGCCTCGGTCTGCTCTACGCGTGTGGTATTTCAGCTCAAGCTACTTCACACCAAGGGAGGGAAGGCTGAGCACACAAACGGCCCCAGCAGTCGTTTCGGGCCAGGTGGGCTTGACAGCACCCCCGCTGCCCGTGCGCCCCGAGCCAGGCCTACAAAGGTTTAGGCAGTAGGTGACTCAGCACCCAACACCGGGACAATGGTCTGGGGACACCAAGGCTTTGGGCCAGCACCAGAACAGGGGTCACCAGCAGCCGGACCCAGCAACGCACCCACTGTGTTCTGAAGGGGACAGGTAGGATCTGGAATCCCGATGGCACTGGGTGGCACTGGGCATCTCTGGGATCACTCCCAACAGGAGGCAGCGCCCCTAACGCAGGCATTACACACGCTACTTGGGGCAGCGGGGAATACGCTGTCCTGGAGAACAAGAGGCCGGTGACAGGCACGGGGTGTCCCACAAGGGCGTCACTGATGCCAAAATCCGCAGGTAACGTTCGCGGAAGTGAGTTCGGAACAGACACACGGGGCATCGCGCCGAGCTGGGTCCTTCCCGGCGCAGCCCGCGGAGCCACCGGCCACGTGCTCATCCCTACGGACCCGCTCGCAGGCCGAGCTCAAACGGCAGCACGGGCTGGAGGTTTGCTGCACCCAGCACCTTCCCAGGGTGCCACCAGGAGCACAGGTAGCGACGCTGCTGCGGCCACTTGCGGGTTCTGCTGCTCCTGAAACCAAAGAGCCGCCACGTGCCCATCTCTGTACCTCGCGCTGCAGCTGCCTTTTAAATCCATGCTACCAAAATAAAAAAGGAAAACATCTTTTGGGAAGAAAGTCTCAATTCTGAAACCGGACAGATCTGACAGACCCCCCTCACCAGGGATGGTGACTAGTCCCATCCCAGGGCTGTGGGCAAGTGCTGAAGTGCTCGGCAACCAAAACCCCAGCCAGGCAAGTGTCTGAAGTGAAAGCTGCCTGCCAGCGCCGGGCTCCTCTATACCAGAGCGATGAATTTGTCACCGACGGACCTCTTGGGACAGCCACTGCTGACCGCTCTGAAATACATTTTCTACCAACGTGGATTAGCTGTTCCCACGTGCGACAGAGCAAGTCTCTCCCTCACTGCACCATTACAACGTCCCACGAGCGTTATTCCAAACGTGAAGGAGCAAAGAGAAAAGGAAAAGTCTGACCGGTGACGATTAGGGACTCTCAAGTACCCATTCACAGCCTGCAACGGAGACATTCCATTCACTGCTCCTGCCTGCAAAGCTGCCCCCCCATTTAAGCCCTTGCCAGGGAAGAGGCCCATCCATTTAGAAAGCCCAACAGCTGAGACAGGAAGCTCTGTCACTTCAGCTGTAGTCACTCGGCCAGACAAGCGCAGGATCTTCAAGAAGGTCCTTCAATAAACTAAAGTCTTGGCATCTCAGGAGACAGAGAGTGGAAGAAAAGCTTGCACAGGTTGCATGCCAATTTTGAATACACCTATCCCCACTTCATCACAAAGATCCATGAGTGATAGTCAAACCACTGACACCCTCCCTAAAGATCTGCTTCTTTAAAAATAACAAACAAAAAAACCCAGCCAAAACCCCAACGAAACAGTAAATCGATGTCCATTCCCTGCCTCTTCAACCCTGGTGGTCTTAGAGCTTTTTCCCCTCACGCTGAACCCCACTTTCCTTCTTTCTTCTCCCCTGAATTCCTTCCAGCTTCGCATTGTCTCCCATTGAGTTTCAAGCCAGAGGACGGCCCCCCAAGCACTGGGTAAGAGCTGGTTACTCCATCTCATTAACTTATTTGACACCCTCTTAACACATCCCAGAAGACAAACCTCACTTCAAACACCCGTTGGTGACAATTCCCACCGCTGACCACACCGGTTTTGACCCAACTGCTCACGGCTATTTGTCACTCACCCTGCGCATGCAATTCCCCATTCTTAATTGCACACTGCTTCTACATCTACAGTTTTTTACCTTGCTGAAACCCCACCTCATCCGTTGGTTATCATCCAGCGCTCAAAACACCCACCAGTGCCAGCACAGGATGCATCTTTGTGAGCCTCACAGCAGCTTTTCAAACAGAACTGTTCAATACCCATGCCGGGAATATTCTCATTCTGAAGCTGAGCACCCACCAAACAGCACTTCATTCCTGCCCAGTTAACCTCCCTACGACAGTCCCGTCCTGGTCTCCCTGCTCTCGGTCTCTGAATACCCACGTCCAGCTCCTGTCGCTTGGACACAACCTGCTCTTGAGAAACCCGTGCTAACACCGGCCATCGTGTTCCAGCTGATGGAGAATTTGTTCGGTTCCCTCTCCCGAGGCTGCTGGCTCCCGGGAACTCCTCAGACCCTTTCCATGACTTTTGGCAGCCATGTCGTCCCATGGCGCGATGGCACCTCTCCGAGCTGTCAGTGGTCCCGAGGCCGTTCCAGGCAGCTGCGTCGAGCTCTCGGTAGGGTTTGGCGCTGCCCCTCTGCGGGGCTACGAGGGGAGAACACGCCGAGCTCCCACAGCCCCGGGCACCCCTTCATGCCCACGCTCCCTGCTGGCAAACCCGACTATGTGCTCCCAGGCCCTGTTTTAATTTAACCTCTGCTTCAGAACAGCAACTAAAACATTCTGCAAGAACAAATGGAGTATTATTTTAAACTTCCCTGTTATTCAGGGAATACTGAAGAGATTGCTAGAGTTAACACTTTCTTCCTGCAATTTCTCCACGCTACAGAATCGCCAGTCGAGTTCTAGATGATGAAAAGGAACCGCAACAACTTCACTCTAATGAAGGGAACTTCCCAAACTAAAGCTGTTACGACAAAAATAAACTCAGTTTCCTGTTCCTGAGCGTGACCTTCGCTTTCAGAAATCACTGAAACCAATTCATGATTCTCTTTCAACAAAATTGCTATTTCTGTACCACTGTTTATCCGATCCACAGAATTAACACAGGTTTCTGGCAGGAGGCTCTAAAGTCCTTTTTTTCCCCTCAATTCTCGTGACTCTGAAGATGGCTGTTCTGATGTAACAACTCGTAATCTTGGAGTACAGACAGATTTTAATCATAGAAACCAAAACCTAAGTGAAAGCTACTTTGCTGCTGGTACAAAGAAATTTAAAGTTGAACTTATAGTAGCTTTATAATAAAGAAAACTCTTGCTTGGATAAAATCAAGAGGAGATGTTTCAGCACTGTGTTTCTTCTTCCAGGGGCCCCTTCCCCACCCGAACTCTAAGCAACTGGCATTAGTTCTTTGACAATAACCAGGTTAAGGTAAACCTGCTCAGGACACGCCAGTATGAACTCAGGAGCACCGTATCACCACTGATACGGTCAGAAACTCGTTTCAGTATAACGTTCCTACAGGAAAACACTGAACCCAGCGCTGCAGGGACCGCGCTCCCCCCGCGGGACGGCACCAGCCGCGAGGGAGAGACGCGTCCCAGACCCGGAGGGCACGTGGCCGCGGTGCAGTCACACGTCCTTACCTGCCGCCCGCCCGCCACGCCTCACCCGTACCAGCACCATCGCACACAACACACAAACGCAGGATTTGCTCCTGTCTGAAGCTTCTTCCTCGAGCAGAGGTGGAAGAGGAGGGTTCTGGAAAACTTCCTCACACCGAAGAACAAACTTCTGGCCCGTACACGTACCCCACCCCAGAGACCCGCTATGCAAGGGCTGAATTCTTACAACACCGTCCAAAACGCTGTATTTAAGACAAGTTAATACCGTGTGACTCTAAGTATCAGCATGTATCAAAAGTCTTGACTTAGTCTGTTTAAGTGAGCAGTAACTTCCAAAAGCATTTTAAATTCCTGGAAGCAAATAATTTGTTTTAGTGACTGGATATACATCTGAAAGCTGACACACTGAAGCCTATCCTTCCACAGTAACACATTCATGTCTTCCCAGGCTCACTCTCCAGAAGGCCTCCCGCTGCAATGGCCCCTATTGCCCAGACAGGCACTAGTACAGAGAGAAAACGAAGTGATTTTCTTACTCTACTGCAGGACATGCCATTGCCCAACTTACTTTGCTTCATCTTCTGCAAGTCACTGACTCTGCTCTTTGGAATTTTTATATGGTCTGTCTCAATTTTGTGTTCTTTCTGATTTTCCATATTTTCTTCAAAATTTAAGTGCTGGAGAGAATTCGGAGGTATCTGCTTCGCAATATCAGCATTTCCATCATTGTCACCGTGCAAACCTACAGAAGGAGGAAGGTGTTTGGTGTTACGTGGCTCTGAAAGGCGGCTCTAACGTTACTGCCAAAGATACTTCATTCCATTTTAACACATAATTAATCCTACATCGGTCCCTTCTCGGCTGATTCGCTCTATGTACTGAAGTGCTTGAAGAAGCCCACAACAATAATACGTTTACGTATTTTTTTTATCCTCCTGCTGATTCTGCTTTTCAAGGCTACTAAGCATCACTTATTGTTTCAAGAACTATGATCGGAGGAGAAGGCTGCAGTAGGTCACAGAAGTTATGCTAAAAATAACAAGCAGAATCACGGGACTACATAACCAAGGAACACAGAAAGCCTTTGAAATTCACATCAACAAACTTTTAACTTTCACTGGCAGACCAAGCTTTTCACTTGCAATCTTTTCTAATTCCTCGTTCATAAAAGTCAAAATGAAGGACTATGGGACCACAAAAAAAACTATTCAAAAGATCTGACATTTGGAAGTAAACCTCAGATGTGCATACAGACCTAGAGCTCCCTAATTTCGGTACCCTAATCTGCTTACACACCCACTGCAAGGGGAAAGAAATGAAGAAATACTTCCGCTGCCTTTTTTCCAAAAGAACCAATAATGGGCACGACAAAACACTTCAAGCTCTTTGGTGACGTTGCACATACACAAGTCCGTTGAACACAAACTACGGGTGTAACCAGTACATGACATTGACTGGTTCTTGGCGGGACAGCCTTTGAAGATGCTGCTTGCAGCGCGGCTAGAACCTGACGTTCCCTTTGACATTACAGCAAAGTGACTTGATCCACGAGCATTAGATTTATTTTCTATGGACCTGTGTCCTTTCCAACCTCCCCCCATCACCTTCAAGTTCACAGGAACAGGAGGAACTGGAGCAAGCGACAACGCCGCTGTTTGATCTCTGCACAGAGCTGGCAACCAACAGACCAACCACCAGCTCCTGCCGCAGCCCTGCCTGATCGGCACCCCTACGGAGGAATGGCGGATTCAATTACTCTGTCCAGCAGAGGAATCTTGAAGCACTTGTCTTTGAAACTTCTATCTCTCAAATCTGGCTGAAGTTGGTCAAAAGGCTCAGAAATTACTGCGGGGGTGGGGGCCGAAAAGAGACCGTACAACCAGCAACCTCAGCGCCTCAGCCAGGCCAAGAACACACTCGATCTCGTATCCTGCAGCAACCGACCGCTGCTTTTCTTTCTCTAACCACATCAAACACGAACAAGGGGCTGGCCACGTGCACCTGACAGTCGTGATACAGCAGCAGATGTTAAATGGAAGTTTCCTACAAAACGCTGACTTGTCACGTGCTAGTAAGACTTTTACCTGGTGCCAGATTTGGAGCGTGGGGCTGTTCAGTTGGAAGATTTACAACAGGTTGATGACCTTCACTTTTAGGAGCTGAAATAAGTGGCTTCTTTAACGCTAAAACAAAACACATGGACAAAAGCATTAACATGAAACAAACAGACATGACAAACCAGGTCTTCCTCTAAGGATCCTGTAAGCTTTTGTTTTGGTTTGTTTTCTTGGTTTTAAGTCACAGATGAAAATACAAACTACAAGTTTTTGCAGGGGGCAGGGGTGGGTATGATCAGAAGCATTCAGTTCTGAGAATTCAAAACTCTAAAGCACAGTAAAAATCAGCAGATTTTATGCCCCACTTGGATTTTATTACCACAGACAGATTTTAAAGCTTTGCATTCACTATGGAACACCTGGTATACAGACGGGATATATACACCACCAAGCACCCAAGCGTGAAGCGTTGGAATACATCTCCTCACCGGTGGGAGTATCCTCGGCTTTCGCAGGGTCATTATCCTCTATCTCAGGCATGCCCGCGTCTCCTCCGGGTTTGATTTTCTCTGTAAGACAGGAACAGGACATTCCGCCTTACTGAGCCTGAACAGTGAATCTCCCTCTTGTGGCAGGCTCTGAGCCCAGACGAGAAGTCCTTTATCCACAGAACACGTCCCACACCCATAACCCAACGAGGACTGAGGACTGCTTTGCAGCGGCACCCCCGAAGCCAGGGCAACCTGCAGAAAAGGATGGCAAACACACGCCCCGCTCTCGGCAGCCGCGTACGAGAAGCCTGCTGCAAGCAGCTGGCCAGAGCGGACGCCGGACTAGTACACAGCGGTGCCGATTCAGCAGCAGAAGTAGCAGAAACAAAGGGAACCCATCTGCCTTTCGGGGCGGCCTGCAGCGAGGAAACAACGGCAACAGCTACTCACTGAGAGCCTCCTGCACAGCTCCTGGGAACCAGAGGTCCCCACTGCTCTGCTGACCTCCCAGCTCGAGACTTCTCACAGCGGTTTCAACACTCCTCACCTCTGCCACCTTCTCCGCGCAGATTCCAGCCCTCCAACAACGCGCCCCTTCCCCAGCTCACCCCAAGACACGTCTCACAGGGAGCGGAGGGGCCATCCCCACTTCACAACTGGCCACGCGAGGGAGGAGATGCCAAGTGAACACAGAACCGTGCAAGAAACGGCTTTCATAAAAGGATCCAGAGAAAGGACACGCCGATCTCTGGATACCGATAAACTGGAGCTTGCTACAATCACGTGCAGTGAATCAAGTTATCGGAGCCAAACAAGTCAGGGTTCTGCTTCAGAGAAATGCAGGATTTCTGTACGACAGCCAAGGATACAACACGATTGGCACATTATCCGTGAAAGATGACCAAAAAAAAGGAGTTACCTTTGCCATTTACAACATGATCTGAAGGCTGCTCGTTCTTTACTGTGTTTTTATCTTCCGCCTCTGGAACAGTCTTAGATATTGCCTGCTCGTCGTTACTGGGACTCACTTCAGTGTCTTTACTGGCCTGAATTTTTTGCGTGGCCTGTTAGAACAAATTCACAAGGAGCCAATATTAAGTACACCCCTGCAAGTTACAACACAAACGCCCCCAAATTCAAGGCTACTTTGGGTAAGCACAAGTGCGTTGATGAATTCGATGATCACCAAGGCAGCAGAAGTCCTCTGCGTACAAACCTGAATGCTGAGGGTAGGAGAGGAGGGACACCTAACCGTACGGGGCACGTGAACCACAGCGTGGCTGTTCGGCGCCGATGCCGGCACATGTGCCTCTGCAGCATGATGCAAACGGGCTAAGGCCTTGAGGCTGAGGTCAGAGACTTTGAAACAATTCTAGATTTTTAAGAAGGATCTGACTGGAATCTACTTCAAGCCTGCCCTGTTATTGGAAATGTTTGAAAACAGAGAGGAAGTAAGGACATTTTAAGAAAAGCAGGTTACTTTATGTGTTGGTAGGAATGAGGCCCATATTCTACTGGCAGCTGGCACCACATCACCACTCCCTCCCTTGATACCAGTCAAATACCACGGTTATTTGCACCACATTAGCACCTCGAGGCCACAACAGGGATGAGGTTCCCCTTTGCGATAACCTACTAGGGCTGGAAGAGCAGAGCCTGCCCTGCGTGCTATGAAGTGACACCCATTTTACAGAGAGGAATCCGAACCCCTTAGCGATGGTGCCAGGTAGGAAGGCCGTCGGGAGCAAAGAACTAAGCCTCATCTCCAGGGCTCTGCTCACTGACCGAGCAGAAGTTCTCACACTACAACCACCCAGGGCTGCTCAGGGTGGTCTTAAGGAAGAGTGAGGGGAGCTGCCCGAGGCCCGCATGCATCTGCAACGCCGAGTCACACCGACAGCTCGCTTCGGGCTCCTCTCACTCAGCAAAGAAACTCAGCTGCCCGTTACCTTTTGTTCCCGCACAACTTGGTCCATTAATTTCTTTATGTTTTCTTCATGTTGCAGTTTCATTTCCTTGATCTGCTGCCCACACTGCAGGCTTGATCAGAAACACGTTATTAGTTACATTTCATTTGTTGTATCCGCTCTCCCGTAAATAAAATAGGGGGAAAAATATGAAGTGGCACAAAAAGCCAAACCTGAGATTTAACTAGAATAGTCTGTCCAAAAAGCCTTGTCCTGGAATGTGTATGGAGTGGAAATGGACTGAATACAGAAAGAAAGCAGAACTGGAAAAAACAGGGACAGAGCAGAAAAACAGTAAAATAAACAGAATGGCCTTGAACATACTTCCTCCAAAACCTGGAAAGCAACCAGAAAGTCCAGCTTCCCAGTTAATCTGTCATCAGCATACGTTAATTCAACCAGGAGAGCAATCCCTCTCCCACGGCTGTCAGCACAGAAGATGCCCAACTACCGCCATCAGTTACTGCTACCGACTCAGACAGCAGGAGCTGCACGACACCGCTGCGTGGCCCAGCTTCTCTACGACGCCACCCCGACATCAGCCCCCTGCAGCGACAC